GCCTGTAGGCTTGCGTAGGTAAATGGATGAGTGCTTACCTATTCTTGCAAATAGTTGTTGCTACTACGTACGATGGGAGCTTCCATCCTTAATCTTAAGACACTTAAACGTACGCGCCATCTCGTGGCAACTTTCATAACGATCCCAACGAACATTCCTTTGACAAGGTTCCTGATACCATCCCTGTGCCTTCCACTGTTTCGGCGTGTATGTGAACACAATTGGGACTAACAGGGTTTACTAGAATCTCACCACTCCACCACAGAGTCACCACAGTAGACGTTAGATGAGCGCTGTCGCTCCGCGACACTTGTTAATTGTTTTTTTGTCTAGAGAGTTAGTTACCTCCGCCAAGGAGGTTATGTTTTCACCCCTGTTAGTTTGTTGGTTAGTTGGTTTGTCTGTCAACAGGATATCTAAAAAAGTTATGGACGGATTTTGATGAAATTTTTTGTGGTAGATTTTGGTGGTGATCCGGATCAAGATTTAGATCCAGGAATTTTTTCAAGGATTTCTGTGACATTATTGTAACATTTGCCGTTACTAGACCCAATAGGTGGCGCCATGTATTAGCCGAAGCCATGTGCTTCCAGTTGCACTCTGCAGAGTCGAGCAACAATAGTCATAGAGAGTAGAAACAACGATATTGGGTGTACCAGCAAGATGGGGGGACTGTTACGCTGTGGCGGAGGTTTGCTATCTCCGATTGCTCTTGTTATCATCTATTTTCGTCACATTTTTAGCTCTCCTTGACATCTTCGAGATGAGCTTTTGCCATGGGGTGTCGTCCGTCCGTACGTTCGTAAACAGTTGTTACTCCTATGGGAGAGATGACAACGTCCTATTACGTTTATTTCGTCTAACTGGTCAACAACTCTACAATCATACCTATATATGTGTAATATTGTGTTTTAGATTCTTCGTTGCAGTAATTTGACTGGAATATTTTATTGTTTTTATTTGCGTGATATTCGAAAACCAAAATGGCGATCATTTAGGCGTAGCGCCATCTCTTGTCAAGATTTCAGATCTGAAACATTTATTTTTGCATCAAAACCTATGCATATATCATTATCAAGAGTATATAATGGGAGATATGCTATATAATGGGAGATATGCTATATAATGGGAGTTCTCCCATATATATACTCTTGCTTTATATATCCCCCCTCCCTCTTCTGTCACACCCAAGGTGAGCTACAGTGTCATTGACACTTTCATTTGATGTGTCTGCTGCCTGCACTTCGCAGTAGAGTGTGTCCAAAGGTTGTCACTCTGGTTTATCTTGTCTTTTTTAGCTCATCTGACATAGTCAGATGCAGCTTGTAGAATCGCTTGATCGTCCGTCCGTCCGTCCGTGCGTCCGTGCGTCCGTCCGTGCGTCAACAGTTAGGCACAAATCTTAACCGCTCGACGTACGGTCACGATATTCGGGTCGTTGGGGGGGATCGTCAAAACGAGTTGGGATGTCGAAGCTGGGGGTCAAAGGTCAAAGGTCAAGAGGTGTAAAATAAGGGGGAACATTCACTCCTTAACTTAAGGTAT